CACACACACACACACACACACACACACACACACACACACAGGAAGAGAACCTTGAAGGCCAATGACAGCACAAGTGGGAGGGCCCAGAGCCCCACCCTCAACGCCCGCTGGGCTCCCGGATCATCCCCAAAGCTAAGCACCAAGCCCGGAAAACCCTCTGGCCCGCCCACTTACCATCCCCCTCCTCCAGAGGAAAACCTATCCCTGAGAGAGACAACCCTGCCTTCCCCTCCAGGTGTTTCCGGAGCTTGGAGGCGGGGCTGTACCTGGGCCAAGTACCACCCCCATCACAAACTCAAGACCTGCCCACCAAAACCTGAGAGGCCGCACCCACCTACGCAACACAGTTGTCCGTAGAGGTAGCCCCGGCGGACCTGCTCACAGCCCCCATCCAGCCAGCAGAGCGGCTCCAGCAGGACCTCCCTCTGCGAAGTGAAGACGCCCTTCGCCGCCCACATCCCTGCCGTGGCCAGGAACCCTGGGTGCCCCGAGCTGCTCTCAGAAGACACGGGAGTCGTGCTCCCTGCTTGTGTTCAAGGCTGAAGGCCCTGGCTTGGCTTTCCACGTTCGCCCCCGCCCACCGGACGCAATGCCCAGACCCGGAGAACCTGCCCCTGCTGCAAGCGTCCCGCCCCGCCCAGTGTGGGCCAGGAAGCCGCGCCCCAACCCATGGGGAGCAAAAAAGCTCGAGGGAACAGGGGTACAGATGCCCTCTAAGTCAAAAGGGTCTGGGAACTCTCCATAATCCAAGTTTTCCGGGGTTCCTCCCACGCCCATGGTAACTCAGTCTCCTGGCGATTGTAGGAGTGCCACTCCTAGCAGGATGTGCAAGTGTCACCCGCTTCAAGAGACCGGATCAGCTGAGGCGATGGGCAGAGTAAAGAACTGCGGGCGACCACGCCCACACCTTGCACTGCAAAGCACCTAGTGCACCAAGAGGAGACACAGGGAGCCCCTTCCCTCGTGTGATGACAAGAAACAAAATTGGTCTCAGAAAGGAGGGGCCAGCGACTGGTCCCAAATGGAAAAAATAAAATAAAATAGAATCTCCGAGGGGAAGAAGCCTTTGGGTAAGTGCATTCTGGTGGATGCCACTGTTTACAGCTGACTCACCGGCTTCTGGGAAGCCTAGAGCTATGCCTGGAAAACCCATTCTAAGACCCACGTCCTGGCAATCTTCCACTGGAGCTAAGACCTAGCAGGCCCGCTAGAGGGCACGAGGACACAAATACACTCCCATCAGTCCTGGCCTGAGGTGCATCTCATGAGGCAGTCCCTCTGGCCAGAAGCCCTGGTGCAGAACTGCCAATCCCCAGGGATGGTCCCAGGCTCCATTCCCTTCAGCCCCACCCCATTCAGAGGTGAGCATGGCCACCTCGGACTATAGCCCAAGAGCTGGTGACTTTGAGGAGAGGGCAGAACATAACCTAACCGCTTGCCCCACAAGTGGTTCTGCGTCCTATGCCATGTTGGAGGACACTCAGACAAACTGCCTTTGTACAACTCAGCCTACACTCTGTGGGCAGGAAAGCCACTAGGCAAGCTTTGTGCCCTGCCCAGATCAGCCTGTGAACCTGCCACTCTGGTTTCTCACTGCTGTGGCAAAGGAGAGGGGCCTTCCCTTAACAAGCAGGCATTCCCACAGGCCTGCGCCTTCAATCCAGAGGTCTCTCCCCAGCCTCTCTCCATTCACCCACCCAGGAC